GGTAGCGTGGCCGAGTGGTCTAAGGATCTGGATTTAGCCTCCAGTCTCTGAGGAGGCGTAGGTTCGAGTCTCCCCGCTGCCACCAAGTTGTCAGATAGTACTTTAATATCACTATCTGTATTTTATCATAATAGGTAGCGAGGTCAACAGTGGAGAGATAGGCATCTTCTTTGTAGGTGTTTATTTAGAGATTACACTTAATTATCTCCCCAGAGCTCCCGTTCCTAAGGTTCCTGTCACTATCGATTTCCGCCCCCAAGAGGGAGACTGCCAAGTTGTGGACGTGACTTCTGCCCCCGGCGAAGGCTGATTTCTGACTAGCTGGGCTCTGTTGCCAGTCCCGGAGGTCGGTGGGTATCGAGTGTGTCACTGCCATCTGGCAATTATAGGCATCAATGAAATGCCGTGTGAGGCTATAGCCATCTATGATATGCCTTACGACAGAACGATATGAATGAAAAACTCATCTCAACAGGTACTAATGATGCAACTGCGGTAAATAACTGCTTAGGAGCATCCATTACATATACTCTTAAATCCTTTGCAAAAGATTTCCACCATGCAAAAGGGGAGAGGAATCCTACAACATTTTTGCAAACACACAACTCTTTAAATTGTGCACTTCTTCCATGGAATGACATGAAAATTGAAAGATAATATGGATGGCACCCACAAGCTTTCTACTCTTCAGAGTGTCGCTGCTTTGATTTAATACATTTGCTAGAAAGTGGGAAGGTGTGAAAGTTATGTTTATTCTTTGCTCAAAATATCTCCATCTTGGTCTTATGTTTGTACCTTTATAATTTCTAAAGAACTGATATGACAGTTAAATATTCCATCAAAGTAAATTCGAATTACTAAACGAGTTGGCTACTGATAAAGTCTCCATATACAAAAGTCATATTCCCCCTTACAGGAGAGGTGCCTGAGCGAAGAAAACTTCTTTGTGGAAAGAAAATACAGAGAAGGAATTTCCCAGTCCCCTCACTCAGCCCCATTTGGTCGAATTTTGCGACAAGCAGGGGAACACGGAGGAAGAGTTCCTCTCCCTCAGCATATAATCGCTAAATCATTAACAAGGAGCAGAATTATATCAATTTCCACTGGAATAAATCGAGTAGCAGTATATTCAACTATATGAAATGAAACATATCATATCTTGTAAACAAAATAATTATTTTTTACTAAGATTTAAGTAGATTTAAATCAGGTGATTTAAATAATAACAACCCTGATATATATATATATATATATATATATATATATATATATATATATATATATATATATATATATATATATATATATATATATAATTCTTACCCCGACCGGGAGTTGAACCTAGGACACATAATTACTGTGCCATGTGCTGCCAACTACACCACAGAAGGTCTAAAGGGGAAACAAACCATACATCTATATCTGCTATACTAGGAATGAACGCATTCTATCTGAATGCCACTCTATTCATATTACAGTTTCCCTCAACCTCACTTGTGGATTCATTTTCGCATTTAATTCAAATCTCAATCTCATTTGGGACCAACAATAATCAAATAAACAATTTTCTATATGTGAATATATGTGATTATTGTTGGTCCCAAATGTGAATAAGATTTGAATAAAATGCGAAAACGAAGTCATGAGTGAGGTTTGTTTCCCTTTTAGAGATTCTGTGGTGTAGTTGGCAGCGATTTGGCACAGTAATTATGTGTCCTAGGTTAAGTCCCGGTCAGGGTAATAATTATTCATGTTCTCACATATAGTAATGTGCTTATTTGATTATATATATATATATATATATATATATATATATATATATATATATATATATATATATATATATATATTGGGAAACTGCCCATTAAAAAAAAAAACGGAAAAATATTGGAAGTACTTATTATATTAGTGACCTAAACTGGTCACCTTCTCAAAGTACAATGCCAAGAGATACAGCTAGTAAACAAGAACATATGAAAACAAGAGGAAGAAACCTGCCCTCATGGTAATTGTGACTTATATCACTTAATCCGTTTTAAATTCCCTTGAGGGAAAAGGTTTCTCCTTTTTCTTTTCATATGTTCTTGCTTGCTAGCTGTATCTCTTGGCATTGTAGTTTGAAAAGGTGACAATATAAGGTCACGAAATTAATAAGTACTTCAAATATTTTTTTGCTGTTTTCTTTAATGGGCATTTGCCTATCATTTTAGACTGCATGGTAAGAGTTCAGTGTTATTCATATATATATATATATATATATATATATATATATATATATATATATATATATATATATATATTATATTTTTTTTAATCTAGGTTTCGAAAATTATATGTGATTACTTAGTAATCATAAAAATAGCATACGGCAGAAAACTGAATATATTACCATATGTGAAAACATGAATCAATTGAACCTAGGGCACATAATTACTGTGCCAAGGCGCTACTTTCTGTGGTGCAGTTGGTAGCGCCTTGGCACAGTAATTATGTGTCCTAG